GGGGTACATGCATGAACTGTGGCCATTATGGTCACACGTCCAAGACTTGCCGCAGCAAGAAGGTCACCACGAAGGTAGCCTCATCAACGGTGGTGGGTCTATCTTCAAACCCTGGGAGTGCTTCTGCGAGCAGCTCACAGGGAAACACCTCGGGCCAGTAGGAGTGTTAGCCGCTCTTACTCGCGCTGAAGTGGCAACGTTGCCTTCCCCACTTCAGGCGTTGGCCAAGGCTAGTGACCCACGCATCGCCCCGCAGAGACCCACCGACGCTCTGTTCGAGAGATATGTCTGAGGCCCTAGAAGAGTTAGAGACTGAGTGGTCAGGGAAGGACCCCAGAGTCTCTTGGGCGATGATAAGTAGAGGTCCAAAGGGTGAACATTTCGTGGTAGAAGTAGATTTAGGTGGCCGCAAGGTCGGCACCTTCACAGACATAGGCTCTACACGAAATTTCATCAGTCGTGCTTGTGTGGATAGACTGCGCTTAGGGGACCAAGTGCAGCGGCTTAGCAGAACTGTAGCTTCTACGCTAGCCAACAAGCACAAGATGGTAGTAAAAGACTATGTCAAGGACGTAGCCTGATCCTTCTCCTATGGAGGAGGGGAAGTGATCCACAAGATCTCCTTCTTGGTTAGCGACGAACTGCCATTCGACATGCTACTGGGCATGTACTACCTTGAAGTCTCGCAACCACAGTTTGATTGGGATAGAAAGGTGTTGATACACAAGTTGCCAAATGGTAGGACCGTTAGGCTGCAGAAGTACAAGGCTCGCAGTCTAGTGGAAAACTGTGGCTGCATGTGCACTTCGTCTTTCTATAACTACTACAAGCAGAATCGCGAGGAGGGCATATACCTAGTATTTGTCTCTCAAAAAGGGGAGGTCGTTAAATCACCCCTAGAGATAGAACAAGTCGTCGCTCAATATTCAAACCTTTTTTAGGAGCCCAAAGTCGTGGTGGAAAGGGAGGTTGTCCATGCAATAGAGGTTGTCCCAGGTAGTAAGGTGCCTAGAGGACGAATCTATAGGATGTCTCCTGCAGAGTTAGATGAGCTTCGCCGCCAGCTCAAGGAGCTCACAGAGAAGGGATGGAT